GGAATGGAATTCAGATAGTAATAGAAGATATAATTTTCTTAGCAATGTTTATTATTCCATTTAGTTTTTATAAAAGAATTAGTTTTAAAGATTCATGTAATTTAGTTGCTCAATCATATCTTATTGGATCATTGGGAAAAGTATTTCTTTGTTTAGTTTTAATGTGGACAAATTCATTACCAATTTATTTATTTTCTATAACAATGGCAAATTTAACTTTTATTGCATGTATGAGTGTTGTATTTGAAATATCTACATGGAAAATGTTAATTATTGGTTTTGTAATTGGAATAATATACACAATTATTACATCTCAATTCTTCCCTTTAACTCCATTAACATATTATATTAAAAATAAAAGGTTATTAGATTTATTAATTGGAGATCTTTATACTTTTTAAGTAAGTCAATAGTTTTTACTCTATTTTACATCTTTCATTGATAACTGACTATAAAAAAAAGAATAAAAAGAAGAATAAATATTTATAATTTCATTAACCAAGATTGAACAGTTGGTAATGGACTAAAATGAAAACTTATTGTTTGTGCATCTCTTATTGATAATATAATTCTTCCTAATGACCGTATCTTTTTAACATTAACTAATTTTTTTTCTTCATCAAACATTACTGGTAATTCATTTGTATGAAACAAATCACCCATCCAAACAAATAATATTGGAAGTTTTGGATAATTAGATTTATTATATACTTCTCTATATCTTTTATAATTTGAAGTTAATGAAAATAATGAACGAAGTTTAACTAAATCATTTTGAAGTTCTTTACTTAATTTATTAAAATCAACATCATTTATAGCTACATGAAGTGATGAGAAGATTGTTGAAGCAACATTAAAATTACCTAATTTAACTAATGTAAGTGTTAGTCTAATAAAGAATTTTTCATTTTTAATTCGTTCAAGTGAATTAGATGTTATAATTGAAGAAACTAAGTCACCTAATTTACTTATAAATTTACTATATGAATCTATTGAATAACAATGTTCTTTTTTGGTTATAATTTCATATAATTTAATTGACCTTAATTTGGCTTGATCAAATAATGTTAATTGTTGTGCAAATTGTAATCTAATTTTATCATTAATAACATGTTTTACTGTTCTATTTGAGTGTTTATAATTCTTATATTCTTCAAACATTTCTTTTATTTCTTTTATTGATTTATATGGCATATTTAATTTTCCTTCATTTATTTCATGAAGTGATGGTGACATTAATGGTGACCTACTTCTTGCTCTTCCAATAAGAGCGTTAATTACAACTCGTTCTTGTTCGTTAAACCCTTCATATTTAATTGTTTTTGATCTTTTAATTTTTTCAAGCAAAAATGGACGTTCTCTTGAGAAATATTCTGCATGCATTTCTAACCATCCTCTAAATAATGAATAAAGCCTTCTTGAATATAAATTTTGTTCTAATAAACTTAATTGATTAGAAGAAATTTCATCTTCTAAATTACAAGTAATTTTTTCAAGATATTCAATAAATAAAAGGGGGTCTATAATAAATATTGAAAATATAGCAAAATGTTCAATAAAATTACTTTCTATTAATGTGTTATTAAATACAAATTGAAACATTGTTTGAACTGATGCAGCCATTAATAAAGATTGTTCTGATTCCTCGTCATCATAAAACAGAGGATCTCCAGCTTCAGGTTCAAATACTGTGATTGAATCTTTTAATGCTTGATATAAAGATTGTATTTTTTCTTTTTCTTTTTCACAACAGAAACATATGAATAATTGGTTTAAAGTCATTTCTTTAATTTCTCCTTCTTCTAACCGATCAATCATTTGAATCCATTTTAATAAACATTCACGATGTGTTTTTTCCATTGTCCAAATAAAAATACGTAAAGATATTATCGTTTGTTCTTCATTTATTAATGATGGAATACAATTTTCATTTAATACAAATCTAAGTCCAATAGAATTTGATCCTTTTAATATCATAACTAATGCTATTTCTGAAGTTACTTTATGTTTTTTCTCTTCCCAGAAAGATGAATAACAATAAGATGAAGATAAATATAATGACTTAACAGTTTCTTCATCAATCGGCTGTTGTACAAGTTTAAAAAGTGATAAAAATGATGTTCCAATTTGTGCAGTTGTCCCAACAATAGAATTAATTGATATATTAGAACTTACTTGTTGAATAGTTCGTGAGATATCATTAACTTTTGGTCTAACAATAACAGGGTGTTTTGGTACTTCTTCTAAATCCATTGAGACAATTTTACGAATTTTAAAGTTTGTTCTATTCTTTATTTAGTTATTATTTGTTTTATTTAACAAATATATACCCCAGAAATAATAACAAAAAAAGAATATCCATGAATTAAAAAAATATGTTATTAAGATATTATGCTTTTGTTTTATTCAGAAGTAAATAATTAATTTATCTAAACATATAACTTCAATAACTATCAAAAAAATTATCATTTAGATTAACTTTAAACCAAAACGTAAAGTATTAAATGTTATAGTATCGTTATTCTTCATTGAAAATTAATTTTATACAGTTCTGATAGTTATTTTTTGTTTCTATCTTCTTCTTCTTTTTTTTTTGATGCTTTTATATGTGTAGAATGTTTATTTGATTTGATGGTTCATTATTATTAATTAGTCCAATATTTTATTATGTTAATATTATTTTATTTTAAAATTATGTTTTATTTTGAAGGTTTTAATTCAAAATGAATTTTTCTTCTCTCTCTGCTTGTTTACTTTTTTTAGTAGAGACTATTAAATATTTTTTGATTATTATTTTTTTTATTAAACCTAATTTAATACACCTTTACTTACTATGAGAACCAAAACTATTACTCTGTGCTAACTTTTTTTTCTTGATGTTCTCATTTATATCACATTGAAGTATGTTGTTTTTAATTCTTATTTAATAATTCTATTTTTTTTCTTTGTTCAACTTTCATTTCCTTCATTTGTTACTTTATATTTTTTTTGTAAGTAATCCCCCATGAAAAACCATTATTATTTCTTTGATTTTATTAAAGCACAATTATTGGTTATTGTTAATATTTTTCTTATATCTTTTTACCATGTTATTTGTATTAACACATTTTTATTAACCATTTTATATTTGATTTATCATTTCTAAACAATGGTATTTATTATTATTAAATCACTTCATTGTAACAAGTGTTAGTATGTTGATTTTATTTATTAGTTTGTTGTTTGTAATAATGGATTATATTTGAATCTTCCTGAACAAAATCCCTTAGTTATACATTTTTATTCTTTCAACAATAACAAAAGTATTTTTATATTACATGCTTCTTCTTAGTTCATCTACATAAATCACTAAGTCTTAACATTTTGTTGTTTTGTTCTACTTCTTATCATCTACAATTACTGAGATATCTAAATGTTTTCTGTCTGTTTTCTATTTGAGTGGAAATGATAGAATTTAACTCCAATCAATAAAATGAATAATAGTAAAGGTTGGTTATTTTAAGGAAAAACTCAAAATATTCTTAGTACTAATAAGGTTTAGCAATTCTCTTGGCAATTCGAGTATGATAAAAATAGCCGTTTATTGTTGATTGTTATTTTATTATTTCCATTAATTAAAGAATATAACAAACCTCTCTTTTCATAGCATAAAAAATCAATTCTGATGGTGTCTAGTTAATTCTTCATCTTTTCTTTTTGTTTTTTAAAAGCAAAATCCTTCAAAGGTCTTTCAAACAAAAGTTCTAAAATTGAACTTTCAATTAAAGAAAACAACCATATTCTTTGAAAAAGAAGATACTACCATAACTCTTCTGAAAAAAACTACAAAAACAAATTATTGTTTTTAAGGATAAATAAGATTAAAAGATTATCTAATTGTTAAAATGGTTAAAAATTAAAGAACTAAAAATGTAATTGAGGACTTTATTTTAATAAATAAATCAGTCTAATAATTTCAAACCCAGTAATGTATGGAAAAATAAAGGTATTGCTCAATATAATTAAACATTCCACAATCTTCTCTCAAACTATCAAAAATAACTTTTCCTATTTATAAAAATTTTCAATTTTTGTAATTTTATCAATTTAGTAATATATATTTATTTTATTATAAATATACTATTTCTTATAGCATCTAAAAATATTTTGTTTATAAATAAACCTCCATAAGGATGATACAAGAAAAGGAAGCAGAACGGGAAAATAATCAAATCATTAAGATAATCCCCCGAACAGACACTTTGTTGTTTCCTGAGATACAAATGCAGAAATTCTTCGACACCAAAAGAAAGAAAAGAAACCCAAGATGAAACTCAATAGTCACAAATCA